AACCCATACCTATTTATATTAATAAAAATAAGAATATGGGAAGGGTATGATTATAAACAAATAGAAAATGGAAATAACAAAAATACCAAAACAATTACAATGCAGTTTTATTTATTTATTCATTTATTTGGAAAATATTTGGGTACCTACAGTTAATTATAGATTATAAATATAAAATAAGGAAATTAATAATTCACTGCTTATTTAAGATACATCAAACAATGTGTGGCTTTGATCACAATTATTTAATATCCTATACTTTTTTGAGTTCGAGTTTTACCTAAGGATATATTACGGTAACATATGCCAAAAAGTGTGGGAATGCTTCAGAATAGTTATTTGTCTCATTGCCTCCAGTTAATACGTGTGAACCTGTGAACGGTATAGTAGCTCTGCTGTTAAAATTTATGAAACAGTTTTTTTATTTATTGCTTTTTGCTGCAAACGATTTTGATATAGTGTACTGCATGATTGATTGCAAAGACCTTTTGGTTCATTTGCACAAGTTAAGGCTCTTGATTAGTTTCAATATTTAAGTGAATTTACTAAAATCCTTCACCAGTGACTGTTTAAATCTATACCTTTCAGGACCACCAGCATCTGTAGGCAACATTTTATGTAATTACAAGTAAAATACATATTACTGAAACATTCTACTTAAAAAAACTAATACAAAAATTAATAGGTAAAACATTCGAAAAAGCCGCGATTCGGAAGTTTTACCAATTAATATTCTCTATATTATTATACTGACTGATCAAGTGTCCATCAGTACTTACAGTTTCTCTGTTCTGTTTGATATTAACTTAACAATAACTAGCTTGCCGAGGAAAAAAATCTATGTTTTGAGCTAAAGAATAAAAATCAAATTTCAACTTAAAACATAGACTTAAAAGCTATCAAAACAACACAATTGTGCCACAATCATCAGCAATCAGCTGTTTGCTTGTCGACACTTATCAATGTAATTGTCAGTTGTACAGCCAATCACGTAAGAGCCGTTACACAAGTCTAGTAGGTATAGAGATTTACGCACGCTGGGTTGGAGGTCATTAATGTCATCAGTGTGACTTTTGTAGTGGAGCTGTTGATATTACTTTATTTTTTATCAGTTGCTTTTTCGCTCTACTGTTTACTATTTTAACATTTAAAGTTTATTATTAATTGTAAGTGACTGTAGTGCATTATTTACTTTGTTTCTTTTGCCTGTTAAATTGGTTTGCGATTTATAAGAAATGGCAAGCAGATTTTCTGAAGTAGAATTAGGGCCTCCAATTGAGGTCTTCGCGCTCAATAAAGCATTTCAAGAAGATACTTTTGAAAAGAAAGTCAGTTTAGGAGTTGGAGGTACTTTTTGTTTCATGCCTTTGGATTCAGCATCGTTACAGTTTATTCTTAATTTATAGCATATCGTACAGATGCGGGAAAACCATGGGTATTACCTGTTGTCAGAACAGCTGAAAAGGCCCTAGCTAATGATGAAACATTAAACAAGGAATATTTACCGGTATTAGGTCTGGAAGTATTTACTAATTTAGCTACAAAAATGCTTCTGGGAGAAAATAATCCCGTTTTGACGGAAAACAGAGTAAGTAAATAAAAGTGATAATTACTATCCAGACAAACATAATTTTTTAATATAAGCTGCTATCAGTTTTCTACTGAAATTCACCAAATGTGCTGAAGCAAAGTTATTTTTTGAAATTGAGTTGGCTTCAGTGTAAACTGAAACGTCCAAAAAAGAATTCTCAAACGTTAACAATTTAAAGAAACGTTTAAAAATTATGCATAAACAGCCAGTTCACTTGTGACAGTCATAGAAAAAGGCATAACCTAAAAAATGTTTTGTTTGAGACCGTACGCAATATACGTAAATCACAGACAACATGTAAGCTTTGAATTACATGTCAGACGTTTTAAACTTATTTTTATTTAAAGTCTGTATTTTCTAAAAAAGATCTGTCAAAAAATTCCGAGTTTTTTCTATAAAAATTCATAATTTTTGGATCTACGTTGCATTATATTAGAGGAAAACTCAATCGCAATAATAAAAATAACAGCACATTCGGTTTATTTACAAGAACAAATTGTACAACAATTAGCGATATTGATAATTAGTGATGTTGGGTTTTCTGGTCGAGTCTTGAATACCACAGCCAGCTTGCCTGCCTTCGTTTCAACTCCCGCGTCCGCGAGCTCCCTTGTCACTTGGTCACTGTGTTGGTTTCAACTTGCAACCAAATAGTGTTTTTGCTAACACGAATCTTCCTGACAACTAAAAAGCGTCTTCATTTATTTCAGAGTTAACTATATGAGTTTCGCCTAAATAACTAGTAGGTTGGTTTAATCAATTTCACTATTCTGAAACGAATAATAATCAGTAATTGTAAGGCATAATGCATGACAAGATTCTGCATCAATTGTATCAATTCCTAAAATTCTAGGATTAAACTTGGCCTGTTAAATATTTCCAAAAATAATAATCATTTATTAAAACAACTACTGTATTTAAGAACATATACATTTATTCTTTATATATATTAGTTTCTATATTTTCGGTAAGGTTAACCATAGATACCATAGACAGGAGAAGTTTATAGATGAATAACTCAAGGGCCAACATTAGATAAAAAAGGCGGGGGAATTTTAATTGGGGCTTAGTTTTGCTTTAATTTTTTCAGTTTTGTTAAATGATGAAGTTAGAATTTGTCATATAACAACCTATATTCAAGAAGAAGATAGTTTGTTTCTTCTTGAAGATAGATTGTTACATGTCTAATTGTAACTTCACCCGGGTATACTGCGAAAGAATAAGAGTATCTAATATACATTAAAAATTAGTACAAAAGATTTTTTATTGGATGAATATGTACAAATGACCATTTTTATAAAGAAAAATACTCCTTAAGTAAAGATAACAAACTTATATGCATATATGCCTATGTTGTGGTGGAAAGTGATCTTAATAAAAACAGAGTCACAAAAACGTTTGGCGCATTTTATACAGAATACAAAATGATGTGATGAGTAAATTTCGGCTTCACGCTGACAACACCACCTGTAAACAGCTCAATTCAGTTTGAGAGTACTGTAAACAGATGTGTAACAACAGTCTTAATGGGATCAGTAACCTACTCGATTCACCAACTGATTTTTACAAGTCCTAACTAATATATCTTTTATATTAACACCCCTAGGCTACTCAATGCTGTATTAAGAAGTAAGATATGATAAGATAAGAAGTAAGATAAAGTTACCAAGTTAAAGATTACCCAACGTATAACGTCACGAATCTCGGTACTTTTTTCCTAAAAACTTTTGATTAACGACACATTTTTTCGCCCTGTACAGTTGAAGGATGTTAAATATACTTACAAATATAAGGATGAGTTACAGAGATAGAAGAGTGATACATACTTAGTTTGTATAAAGAGCAACATGCAATTATACACTTGGAGATTATAAACGGAACGTGGTAGTAACCATACCTAAAAAGAGAGGCGCGGATAGGTGTGAGACATTTAGAACAATTAGCTTAACTTCCCACGCGTCAAAAATCTTAACGAGAATTGTACAGAGGAGTGTGGAAAAAAGGGCGGAAGAATTATTAGAGGAAGATCAATTTGATGTAAATACAGAAAAAGCTTTTGACAATGTTCAATGGGACAAGATGTTAAATATACTTAAAATGTAGGCATGAGTTACAAAGGCAGAAGAGTAATACTTAGTTTGTATAAAGGGCAACAGGCAGTTATAGAGATGGTACTGCAACGTAGGGAAGTAAATATTAGGAAGGGAGTCCGACAGGGATGCACACCGTCCCCGCTACTTTTTAATCTAGACATCGAAGACGCGTTCAACATCATTAAAGACAGTACAGCTGTAGGGATAGATATGGAGGGGCAAAAAATTAGTATGGTTATATTTGCAGATGATATAGCAATATTAGCATCTAGCAAGGAGGAGATAGAGATAGCTTTAAGTAACATGGAAGCAGTATTGACAAAACAGAAAATATGAAAATAAATAAAAGTAAAACAAAAATACTGATATGCAAGGGATGAAAATGTAAGGAAAGAAGGAAAGAGTGAATATAAAGATAGGAGACAAAAAATTAGAAGAAGTGACCGATTTTAGATATCTAGGAAGTCAGATAAGGACGGAAGGAGTAGTAGGAATATAAAGCATAGAATAGCGCAGGGTCGAGTCGCCTTCAATAAAAAGAAGTCACTTCTATGCTTGCGAACGATTAATTTAGCAATTCGAAAAAGATTGTTAAAAGTGTATGTTTGGAGTGTGGCGCTATATGGATGCGAAACATGGACGGTGGGCGCGTCGAAAAAGAAACGGTTAGAATCGTTTGAAATGTAGTATTACCAGCGAATGATGAGAATACTGTGGATATAGAAGGTTACAAATGAAGAGGTATTAGAATGAATAGAAGAACAGAGAACTCTATGGAAGTCAATATAGTTTGGTAGAACACCTTATCAGGCATGAAGGTCTAGTCAGAGACATAGTAGAGGTAGAGACAGGAGTTAAGAGGAGTAGAGGTAGACCTAGATTAAATTACTGTTCGCAAATAGTTAAGGATGTGGAATGTTCTAGTTTTAAGGAAATACGAAGATTAGCTCAGGATAGGAAAGAGTGGAGGTGCGTGTCCAATCGGTCTTAGGACTGACGACAGTTGACAGATGACAGTTGAAATGCATTCCCGGATATTACAATTTTCTCTTCCCCGTTTACTATGTTCTGAATAGTAGTAGTACACACAAAAAATAGCGACATTTAAGAAAACACGTGGTAGTGTAGCTTCATTAAAGAATTTATTTAAAACTGCAAATTGTTAAATCATTTGTAAAGAGTATCTGTACTGTACATTACAATACCAAGTGTTGTTGTAAATTTGTCCAGTTTTTTGTTATAATTCAAACATGTTTAACTAAGTGTCAATTGACTAAGCCATCAATATGATCTAGTGGATCGACAATACTTCTGCTTCGAGGTTGCTTTCACGCGGAACACCTGACAATGAAAAGGAAATTAATTGGCATAAACGCATTCTTTACATTACACACTTAAGAGTAGCTCTGTTGTATGAGTTACGTTAACAGAGCAGACAATTTAACGATAAACTTATAGAAAGTAGTGGAATGTGAGGTGGACATGCTCATATAAAATTCGGATCCTTCTATTGTATGCACACGATAATGTAGCTTTATGTAACGTTGTTATGTAGAACACCTGACAACAAAGGGAAATATGTACAGACAGAAATACAAGGTGCATATTAAAGAAAAGGCAATTATTACATTACATTATACTGTATGTATACGTACTACACTGTTTCTAGCGAGAAACTTACAGGAGATTGTGGATTCGAAATTGTCCTCATACAAAATATCTGAGAAGAGAAAGAAAATATGTTTTAAGGAAAATACGTTGTAATTATTATTGAAACACCACTAATGATGTTACATTAATTAGCTCAAGAGAGGACACGATTTAGCGAGAAACCTACCGCAAGTTGTGGGCTCCAAAGTTGTCGTGGTATCATTGACAATCACAGCATTACTTCGTCCATAGAAACTTGTGATGGGGATGGCGTGTTTTTGCAGCGCAGTATCAGTGGATTCGACAATCATAAAATGTATTCGTATGCTTTTAAAATGCCGTGTGGATCCTGATAAAAAAATAGAATTTGCAAATGTAGTTAATTAGTAAATCCATTATCTTATGTAAATTACACTGAAATCGGTTATTGGGTACTTCAGAATCCTCTGCGGTATTTGTGTAACATGCGTTATGGGAACTTTACCGGAATTATTTATACTCGCCTACTTGACAATTCTTCGAGGGTCGTGTTTTGAACGTTAGAGCAAGTCAATTTCTCCCTAGCCGAGAAATTCAAAGAAGGAAACACTAGCAGTAAAATTCATTGTGCTGTGTTTACTAAAACTTTTAGGCTCAAGTAAAAATAGACACATTTTGTACTTCAAACAGTTCAACCCATTTTCGAATATTTTCAACTTTGCCTCACTTAATCTATAATCTAAGTCATATCTATTCTTGCGTTACATTAATTTTATACATAAGTTTAAGTTACGGTTGACATAGTGGAAGGTCATCGTTAAAGCATTAGTGTCTTTAGCTAAAAATAAACAGTTGAGAAAAGAAATAGTTAATAATTTCATCGTTATTAACAAACCATTGGCCCTTCAAGCTGGATTTTGTGAATCATTCAGCGAGCCAGCATTACTTCCTGAGCTCCCAAAAAATACACATCTCCATTCCATCCTGGATTAAATAATCGAAGCCACAGCACTACTTCCTTGGCTTTTCAAGTTTGGACAATCATCGCCTTCAGAATTTTGGAAGAAATTGTCGAAGTAAGTCTCTATTTTCCTTTCCTATTTGTACCATTTTATTTTTATGTCTTTGTATCCATCTTATTCAAAATGGCTTTTTTATCGGGTTCAGAAACACTCATAATGAAGCGAGGGCAAGTGAAAACAAATGTAACTCGCTTTCGTAAATGCAGTCAAAATCTGTTATAACGACACCGAAGGGACTACTCACATTTGCTCG